GAACACGAACGAACACATCTTAGTTCGTGTTCGGCTCATTAACTTATCGAACAAAATTAACGAGCCAAACACGAGCTTTTTAACGAGCCGAACACTAGCTGTTCAAGAACAACGAGTCGTTTTGATAGCCCTAGTAATAAGGCTTTCCCTGTGGAAGCTTGGTTAAATAAAAGATGGAAATTTGCTTGAAGAAATGTGCTTAAGATTAATATAAAATTATAGAAATTTGTGTTCATCTTTGATTTGCCGTGTTTGAAAACTATTGTCATACTATAGACGGAGAGATCAATTCATTAGAACAATTAGATTATTGGCTGATGGGTTGAATAGTCAAGGCCAACTAGACCTAGAACATGCAGTGTATAGCTGTATAGTCATGCGTAGAAGTTAAAAAACTATAAATGAGGAAAACTATTTTCAAAACTAATGGTTAAAAATGTTAAAGGGCTAACCATTGACACTAGGCTTATTGCATCCATGATGTGCATGACTTGCTTTTTCACTAATTATCTAAAGGATCATGAGGCAGCTATGTATCATCTTGCTTTTTCACTAATTATCTAAAGGATCATGAGGCAGCTATGTATCATCAAATAAGATGATGTTTTCCCAAAGGAGGTAAAGATGTTGCTAGTTGTCGTAATCCCAAAGGAGAATAAAGACAATGTCACTGACCACTTTCCCACATGATACAAGTTGATGATTGAGGTTAGGTCAATATCTCGATAGGAAATGAATTGGATACGTGAATTCTTGAAGCCGATTGATGTAGTAGAGCCAATTAGCGATTGTTACTTTGATGACATGCCCTTTGTGATGGCATTGCTTCATTTTTTCTGACTCCCTCACAATTGGCTTGGTTTTAATTTTATTAAATTTTTTAATTTACTCTTGGATAAAAAAGTACAAAATAGTTCTCATCTCTAGAAAGTTTTTTGTGTAGGAACTTGAATAAGAAATTTTTTTTTTTGGAAGTTATTGCAAGTAAACTACTTACTTCGCCAATGTCGAGATATCTTAGAATTGTTGATTGAGCTACGTTAGAGCGATGATGGAGGGGAGCATATAGTAGTTCTCAATATTCAATCCTTTTTGAAATGGAGAGGGAGGTGTCAAAATTCGGGTTCCGTGAGGAGAGTGGAGAGAACTAAATTTGCAAGTGTTAGAATCCATGCTCTAATCATAATTGGCTAATTTAAAAAGAAAACTAAATACCTATATATGGAGTCAAGTTACAATTCAATCTAAATTGAAAATTCAAAAATAGATATATTAAAAAAAGCTTAACATCAAATTTAAAATAAAGAAAAAACTAAAATTAAATACATTAAAACTAAAATAAGTTCTAGTGAAAATCCAGAATACTAAAATAATCTAGAATGAACTTATTGCATCTTTTGTACTCTTATCAACTCGCTTCGTTTGATAAAACTCTTTTGTCAAAGAGTCAAGAGGAAGTTCTTTCTTGGAAGTCTATTCTCTTTGATGGAGGCAGTGAAATTTATTTAGATATATCTCTTTCATTATCAATATGTGCAATTTGAACATTGAAAGTAGGGTTTAGCTGTTTTAAATTTTATTCATTAATGAATATCTTCGTTATTGTCGATATGTGCGATCTGAACATTGGAAGTGAAGTATAGCATTTTTAGATTTGACATTGCAATGCATGATATATCTTGCTTTGATCAACACAATACAATTATATAGTGGTAATACAAGGTTAATATGCAATTCTTGTGAGAATTAGACAACAATTGTATAATTTGTGAAAAAAAGTTTTATGCATGGAGAACAAAACCATGAATCAATCTATTTTTTCATCTCAATAATAACAATAATAGAAGATATTCTTGTTTCAATAATAGGTTAGAGCATAATCTTAAATGTATGCTTAAGAATAATATCAGGAGCAACCATATGACCAAGCTCAATAAGAGGCTTGATCATTCATGGCTAATCTTCATCAAGCTCGTCTGTAGAATCTAGATCTTGGCAATACTAATCCTCTTAAATAAAATTGACAGATCTTTCATTTTTATACCCATGGAGGCGATAGAAGTGTCTGAAGTTCTAAATTTAGTATATGTTCTAAATTTAGTATATGTTTATATACTTTAGGATTTTGAGAAAGTGTTATGTGATATGATCTGTCATCATATTAAGATTGTTCTTGAAGGCGATGAACAAGATGATCATATGCATAACTATTAGAAAATATATTAGTATTTTCAAAATGCCAAATGCAATATGATGCACGGAGTTCATTTTCTTTGTTGCAATACACACAGCGTGAAGTAAAGCACTTGACTATTATAAACTAAAACACTAATTCTTTATATATCATATATCTATATATTATATTCATACAATAGTCATTTTATCAACTAAAAATAAAACCACATTTGGTAAAAATTTCCTCAAGTATCATGATACATCAACAACAATACTTTTTGAGCTATTTAAAATTAAAAATAAGGAATCTAGAATCAAAGAATGAAAGTCATGAAAACATTGTTAAACATTATGGGTCTGTTTGGGGCAGCTGCAGCTTATCCAGCTTATGCTGATAAGCAACTTATCCTGATAATCTGCTGATGACCAGCTGATTCGAATAATCTGACTAACTGTTTGGTTTGTGTGTTTGGAAAACAGCTGATTTGCAGCTGTTTATGGATAAATGGTCATTCTGCTTCTGTGCATTAATATTATTTGCAACAGAAGTGTTATAATAATATCTTTGATACTTAAGAAGCAAAAAATGACTTCATATCAGTAAAGAAAATAAGATAAAAACCTAAAAAAAGTTAAATAGGCTTGAAATTAAACACATGAATGAAAATATACATATGCACTTTCGCACTTTCGTTGTCTTCGTTGTCAAATGTGAAAGAGAGTAGAGACTACGGTGCTCGGAGCATGAAGAACAACCTAGGGGCTGCTAGGTAGCAGAATTTGAGTGGAATTCAAGAATAATTTAGTAATTTAAGCAAAAATTTACCTAAATCCTGCCAAACAGTAAAAATGACATATTTAAATCCCGTTTCTCCTCTGTTTTGCCTGAATCCAGGATTTAGAACATTCCGTTCGAAGGCTGATTTAGGAAATTTTGAGAAGCTGAAAATCGCATGAAGGTGGGCGGAGTGAAGAAATGCAGAGTTTACCTTACTCCATGGATTCCAGTAGGAGCTGAGCGGAAGAAGGAAAAAGATGGTTCGTAGGTCTTTGTACGCTGCGATTCCTTTGTTGCATTCCCAGCTAGCTCTAATGGAGATCGTATCGGGAAGATTAATCACGTTGGCGATGGTTTCGAGTAAAACCGAGAGAGATGGTTGATGGGTAGAAGAGATAGGTTAGAGAATGCAAGGTTTTAGTTGGAGGTTAGGTTTTTGTTTCCTAAGGTTGTTCTTGTTTAGGGGATTGGATTTTTCAACAAGAATGAAAGGACAGGATTTGAGGGGGAAATTTAGGTTTTTTATTGTAACTTAATTTCTCTTTCAGATGGTCCTTTTCTAGAGAAAATCATATTACTTTTCTGAATGCAAACTTTCTAGAAGATAACATATTCTTAAGTTTGACAACGCTGAATGCAGGATTTTTAGTTGGAGGCTTTGTTTCTGTTTCC